ATGCGGAAAGTTGTCGTGATCTTTACACCGCAGGAAAATATGATCTCAAATCTGCCCCGGCCTTTTACATGTTCCAAAACCGTAATGCTCCCTGCATGCTACCGGCACAATAAGTCTACATTCTCTCTATGTCTCCCCCATCTCTTTAATTATCTCCCTACTCGCTCACCCATCGCGTGCTTCACGACGCTGTGCGGCCGTCCGTTCGCCCTACTTTGCATCGCCGCCGCGGCCATCTCCCCTCCCCCCTCCTGCGCCTCATCATGTCCGCGATGCCCCACTCTACCTTGCCAACGCGGCCATCCCTCGCCGTGCCTCCCCTCTCGCCTTGCCACCATGGCCATCCACTGCCTCGCCCCAATCCTTGATTGCCCGTCGCGGCCACGGCGTGCACCGCGCCACCAAGAGAAAGTCATCGTCGGCTGGGACATCGCCTCCCGCGATCTCCCGAAGACACCACAACAGTAAGAAGCGCATGTTGCAAGCGTATGTTTTAAGTGTTTCAAATATTTCAGAGGTGTGTTGCAAGTATTTCATATGATGTTTCAAAAGTAGATCGGGTTGTTGCACATTGTAATAGCTATACACGTATGTTTAAACCCATATTCCTATGTTTGGTGACGGAATTAAGTATATATATTGGATATGTTGATGGTTTATGATTGACATTAACGACCGTCAACAATACCAGAAGAAAGTTCATGTCGACAGAGCTTTGCAAGCTCCAAAGTGTGTTGTGTGCAATGCTATCATCATGATGCGGACGGTTCTTGGGCTACGTAGACTTTTGGGTGGCTTTGGCTCACTCCCTTCTCCAAGCCTTAGTGACCCATCTGCCAAGATTGACACCTTTGAGGCCCTACTCAAGATACTAGAAGATGCTTCATGAGGTGTCATGGTAGAACTCTTGTTCAGCCTCTACTTCACCCCCTACTTCATGTGCAATTTCTTCTTGGTTGCTTGCTTTGGTACATTTCCCTTTGTGATGGTCCCAAATCATGTAGTTCTCCATGAAACCTCACCTGGTCAAGTCTGGTCTTATTGTATCCGGATCTTGCCATACTATATGGTTCCGATAGTCAAATCAATAGACAATGTATATCTTTTGTCCGCTCAATCAATGCTTGCTTTTTGGCATCTTTAATAAATTTGTTCACATTTTGGATAAAAGAGACTACATGCTTCTATTTGGTGTACATCCATGACATGTCCATGTATGGAACTTCATGAAAACATATAATTGTGTCAAAATGTTATTCCCATTTAACTAGCAAAAATATATTTTTCTCACCATAAATTTAACAAAGAATCAGCATAAATTGATGTTAAAATCTAGAAGAAAAAAATGGCATATAGTACTCTTTATAAATTTAAAGACACTTTATTTTCATTAAACAAAACAATCGCCTCTCTCTTACTCTCTCTCACCTCTCCGAGCATGGCTACAAATAGACATAGATCTAGATCTGCAAACAGATCCATTTATGGACAAACCTTGTATAACCCTATGTGAAGCAAGAAATCTACACAAAATACGAGATTGATGTGAGCCCACTCCATAGAAGTAAGTTGGGAAAAACTTTTGTGAAAACTATTAACAAAATGTAAAATTAAAAAGCATGTCTCTCTCTAGATGGAAACCATACTTAAACAAACAAAATGTATGAGTGATTAAAAAGATAGTTGGATGGCATAATCTTACCTCTTAAAACCAACTCCTTCAGTGTTTTAAAATGTAATACCTCCCCCTCTATTTTTACAACTCTAAGAGAATAGCCCCAAGAAACATCAGATTTCCAGGACTGATCCACTTAATAAGACTGATCCTGAAAATCTCATTTTCAGGGACGGTTATTTTAAGATAATGCTCTTAAAAATGGATACATTTCTAGGGACAGTTTTCTTAATGAAACCGCCTGTGAAAATAGATTTTCAGTGGCAGTTCGCTTGCTATAGTGCTCCCTGTCCTAGATAGAGGCAGCTTATTATCTGGGCTGTCAATGTAAGAAATCGGTGCCGACTATAAAACAATGATTTGTGTAGAAGTATGATCACGTGAGACATCACCGCAAACCCGTCGCCCGTGTCCCATACATGCTCCACGTCGCCTTTCTATTGGAGCTAAGCCTCCCATGTACTCGTATATATGTAACTCATCACAATCAATACATCTGTGGTTGATCAACTTCTTGTGCTTAGCTATTTCACTTTCAACACATGAATGTCCTGGCATCTATCTGCTGCATAATCATGCTAGTGTAAAGGCTTGTTGCTTTTGTGGGCATAAACTAGACAACCGTGTTAACTTCTTGGCATATGTGCATGCAAATCAAGCTACAGCTTGTGATCTATCTTGCAAGTTGACTCGCAATGATACTGGAGAACAGATCATCATCCATTTGTTTCTCCTGCAAGCAGGTAGAAAGCATATGCGCAAATAATTGGAAACAGATATGGTGCAGGAAAAGGCAATTCGGATCTACAGCAAGCAAGATCACTAGCTGAGTTCACTACAGGATATTCTAATATATGGTTCTTAGCCTCGACACAGCAGCTGACTTACATATTCTATTCATAGAAGATCTTTGTCCAGAAAGAGCGAGAGAGCACTACTTGGCTGTGATTCTGATGAGCTTGAAACAATTATGAAATCCAATTTCGAACCACTTCTAGTTTTTTTAACTAATAATATTGCCCATAAACGTTTTCCGCCGACAAGTGGCTAGTACAATAGTGCTATCTTTCTTCTTGCAGTGGTAAATGGCGAATGCTGATCATGCCATCCACATGGATCCAAATGCACGCTGCCTAATCAAGATCTATGTTTGGATCCTGATGAATCTGGAGATACAATGCATATCACACAATCGTTAAAGTAGTCACCCAAAGAACTCAACATGATAATAATTAATCCTAGTGATTGTTGATAAAGGTTGCTTTGAGCAATATGTCAAGTTGTCAAGCCCAGCAAAAGCCACAATGCTTCACAAGTTAGGGTAATCCTTTTGTTTCTATTATAAATTTGCTCTACTAATTATTTAGTACAGTGGTTTAAGGACACAGCTTTAAATGAACTAAAAGAATTTTAAACTGAATTAATTCTGGAGTAATTAAGGGTACCATTCATGATGGATAACAACCGTCCTGTTCGTTTGATCGTATCAGCCATGCGTATCAGCCATGATATAGTATTTTTCTCTCACAATAAAACAGCACCAGCCGGCTTATAAGCCACAGAAATGATCAAGCGAACGGGCTGAACCTACATTCAGAGTTTAGTTTTGCCTGAACAATGCCCAAAAGCGCTTACTAATTCCTATATCTATATTCTCAGGAACAAGTTCCTCAACACTTATATGGTCCAGTCAAATCATGATGGATACAAATCTTCATATCAACCAAAAAAATGCAACGGAGCAGAGATAATCGGTGCTTCTGACAGCTACATTTGCCCAATTTAGATACATTCTGGACATCTGATCCACTTATGTCAGGAATAATTAAATATGCCGTCGTATCTTCGCAATAAAACTATCAAGATTAACCGCTGATGCTGTGGTACCAAGCTACAATCAGATGTAGCCCAAGCTTTCTGCTTCCCAGGTCCTGTACCACTTGCACCAGCAAAAGCACAGATACCATTTGATTAGCCACAGCTTAAGGAGAATATATGTGCTGTACAGTTTTGTCCAGCATCAGTGGGAAAAGCTACATGATTGGGCACGGCTAGGTAGGAATAATATTTTTTAGTTAGAAGAGGTGTCCACTTCCCATTGGAAAGTTGTGTGTATGGCCTGTGTTGGTTTCAGGCCCATGCCTCTGCCAATGCCCTCCCCAAAGCAAGCACAAACACGCTCTGAACCTTTAACAGATACCTGCACTGGACAGCAACTTCTCAGTTCTCACCATAGCCAACTCCATGACTCCTTCCCTTCTCCATACAGAAATTTAACATTTATGAGCACTGCTCCTGTAAATATCTCATTTTAGTAGTATGATCCATCATCCATGTAGAATGATTTCTCATAATAGTACAGTTCTAATGATGGAAGCTCTGACATTTAAAAGATCTAGTGCGGTCCATTTTGGCGAAAGCTCAAGTGTTTATCTCTGAGATAAAACGCTTGAAAAGGGTAACAACAGTTCAATAACACTAACAGTTCAAGAGGCTCGCCTTTGTAAATGGCAACAGGTCGATCACAATCATAATCACAGGCCTCAGATTTCTGTCCAGCTGTCTGGATCAAAATTCTGAATGGACATGAAAAAAAGGAAGATGCTCCCTTATCTTACCAGAGATGGCATGTGGGTCGTATTTCTCTTCATATCAGATCTACACTGTCATAAAACATTTACAGCTGTGCACATCAAAGTGTTCAGATCTATCAATATTAACCTTCATGGCCAAACATTTTTTTCCAAAAAAAAATTCTGAAATCTGTGCATGGTAGAGTGAAGGCTATGTCCTTATCCAAAGTAAAAGTGAACCGTATCAAAGGAGTAACTAGGAGATAATGCGGCGTCCTCTCTTGTTATCTCCCCTTTTTTCGACATTTTACATCATGTCTCTCAACAAGTCATTTCTTCATCAGTGAGGGCACATGATTAATCAAGATACTGTTTAAAATATATTTATCGGCATTTTTTGGTCTTCCCAACAAGGGTAAACACCAGTCTCCCATGATAACTGGCACCCCCACCCAGGGCCCTTATAAATAACCAGCCCAGTTGCCTAGAAATTTACCAAGCCATCACTAACCTCCAACAAGGTGGAGCACAACAACAACAACAACACACTAGCTCAATAGTGTGATGTAGCTCAATAGGCTTGTTGTATCACAAGAGCAGAGGTAGAGAGAGAGAGAGAGAGAGAGAGAGAGAGAGAGAGAAGAAACATTGGACGCCAGGGAGAAGAGCACAGGCAGAGCAGAGCAGAACGGAGTGACTGGTGTACGTGTGCCAGACACTGCCAGTGCAGCTACTGCGAGCTGAGGTGAAGGATGGATGTGGAGTCGAGGCAAGGTTCTTCCAAAGGGGACGCCATGGCTGCTGCTGCTGTCTCTGTTGACTGGAGGGGAAGACCCTGCGACCCCCTCAAGCACGGCGGCATGAAAGCCGCGGTCTTCGTCCTAGGTTCGTGCAGACCCCCTCCCTTAGCTTCTCCTCTCTTGGTTCAGAGTTATGGATGAACAAGTGTTGGTTTTTCATTCATCTTTTCAGCTCGCTGTGTTTGTTCTTCATAATTTGGTTGATGAACACGCATGCATGCATGTCGATGCAGGGATCCAGGCGTTTGAAATGATGGCGATTGCGGCGGTGGGGAACAACCTGATCACGTACGTGTTCGGGGAGATGCACTTCCCGCTGTCGGAGGCGGCCAACATCGTGACCAACTTCATCGGCACCGTCTTCCTCCTCTCCCTCCTCGGCGGCTTCCTCTCCGACTCCTACCTCGGCAGCTTCTGGACCATGCTCATCTTTGGATTCGTCGAGCTCTCGGTAATAAGCAATTCATAATTAATCTCATAATCATCACTTATTTGGATGCGGTTCGTTCCTTCCTTCTTATGCTTCAATCATCATCATCACATAAAGAAGCTAGTAGCTAATTAAGAAAACAATGATACCATGCCATGCCACCTGGGGCCTCATTTGAAAACAGTTGATTGCATTCTTGTTTGTTTCTGTGCAAGAGGTCCTGCCTGATCATGATGAACAGGATCATGGCGTTTAATTTAATTAACCTCTTTCTGCAGCTTACTGTTCTTTAATGTTTTTTTTCTATAAGTAAACTAGGACGACAAAAAGAAACAGAAATTAATTAAACGTACGTTCAACAAATAAAGAAAGGTTGGCACTTTAATTAATGGCCTGAAATAAAACGAAAAGATATACTGTACAAACAGTTTTGTCAGTGAGAAGCAAGAAAAAAGTGCTGTCAACTGTTAAATAAAGGCACTGAAAGGACAGGAACAAATCATCACCCCCAATGGCGGCCGTCTAGTGCGCCTTGAGTAAGCGCCCCGAACGCCAATCCACTTTTCCTCACTGCCTCATCTTTGCTTGCATTCGCTGGTTCAGTGCATCACAAGAATGGCAACACCAAATATAATCGTCCTGTTCGCTTGACTGCCATGGCTGAAGATACCGTTGGCTGATTTATTGTGAGAGAAAAATAATATTCATTGGCTAAAAAAAGTACGGCTTATAAGTCAAGCGAACAGGACTGCTGCTACAGTACATGCACCAACTAACTTAATCTCTTCTGAATCCATAAAAAAAACTTAATCTCTTCTGAATAATGACAATTAATAATAATCTTTATCATTACTAATATATATATCTATTTATTACTTATATGGCACTGGCAGGGTTTCATCCTGCTGGCGGTTCAGGCGCACCTGCCCCAGCTCCGTCCGCCGCCATGCGACATGATGGCGGCGGCGGCGGGGCAGGCGTGCGAGCAGGCAAGCGGCCTAAAGGCCGGCATCTTCTTCACGGCGCTCTACCTGGTGGCGCTGGGCAGCGGGTGCCTCAAGCCCAACATCATCGCGCACGGCGCCGACCAGTTTCGCCGGGGCGGCGGTGGCGGCGGCGCTCGCCGCCTGTCGAGCTACTTCAACGCCGCCTACTTCAGCTTCTGCGTGGGCGAGCTGGTGGCGCTCACCGTGCTCATCTGGGTGCAGACCCGCTCCGGGATGGACGTCGGCTTCGGGGTCTCCGCCGCTGCCATGGCCATCGCCCTGCTCAGCCTCGTCGCAGGCGTCGCCTTCTACCGCAACAAGCCGCCACAGGGCAGCATCTTCACTCCCATAGCTAAGGTACGTAGTGTATGCTTGAACTTATCGGTCATAGAACAATGTTTTTCTCTTCCGACAAATCAGCTTGAGCGGCTTATCAGCCGCAGAAACCATCAGCCGAATAACTATACTAGCATAGGTATACCACTGGTATTATTTGCTTTGTGATTCCCTCATTTTTAAATAATATTATGAATATACTCAGATTTCAGGGCAGAACCAAAAATGGTACTACATAGGTACTAGGAGGACATCCACATAGGAGGATTATGTGAAGCTGAAACATATTTATTTTGATTACATATATAAAGAAAAACCAATAACAAAACACACACTACTTGTTTTCCCTCTACCAAATTAAAGCTGAACATATTCCTTTTTCCTATTTTTTGTTGTTTACAGGGTTTACATTGTTGATATTTGAATAAGAATATTAGAAATATGGTAAAACTACTGGCGATAGAAAACAATTATGACATTTTTTAAAAAAAACTTAGTTTGCAAAGATAATCATGTTGAAAATCTTCAAAAAAATATAACATCAGAATAGAACACAAAATATAGAAATGAGATGATATAACACATTCATGGTGCGCATGGCCATGAGACAATTAAGCCTTAGAGTAGGAGCTGAGAGCGCGGTAGCTAGGATGACGAGGAGGTAAAAATGGAATAGGCCTGTTCGCTTAAACTTATCAGCCGGTTTATCAGTTAGAATCTACAATATTTTTCTCTCACAATAAAATAGCTTCAGTCGGCTTTAATATCAGCCGAATAGGCCCTCATCGGAGGTATCTACCCACCTAGTTTTGGACTTGTGCAAACCAGTTGGGTGAAATTTTAGCATGCTGGATTCAAATCCAAAAAAAATTTGCCCGATAAACTCTTTCCATAGCCCATCACCAATAAAATTGAATTTTTTTTTGTCCATCGGCTTTTCTGTCGCTGATAAATATTTGTTTTCGTTGTGCTTGCCTATGGGGGCATATAACAAGTAGCTCTCCCATGACCCATCACGCTGCTTTACTCCCAAAAAATATATATTCATATACTATAAGCTTAGGCACATGTCTAAAAGCAAAATGTGTAGGCTAGCTAGTTGGACTTGTAATTCGATCGAATAGTATACCTAAGTCGACATCCTCTAATGTTATTGAACATTAATTTTGCTATGAGATTGGTGCCTTTATTTAGAAATATATATGCAAAAAGTCTAGTAGATAACACATCCAGCATCCACGTACGTACGTATATGGGCCAACATGCATGTGAAATTGAAGCGCATATTGTCAATGGATAGATTAAGAAAAACTATGAGCTAGCACAAGTTAACCTCATATATATGTTTATATTATTAAAAGGTACGGTGCAATCGTGCAAATATGGTCACCAGTCGGGCCCTAGCTCCCACGTACATGCACTATCAACAAATATGGTCGCCGCGGGGCCCACCTCCACGTATATGCACTAGCTACACAGATATCCAATAAGAAGAGACGCACTAGCTAGCGGATCGGAGTGAACCAAAAAGATGTAATGTAGTACATATGGATGAGAGCAGGCAGGTGTATATCCAACACTGGAAAAAGGAAGAAAGTTTGACCATGCATGCTGCATAGGGGCTCCATATATGCAGCTTTAGGAGCAAAGCTGATGGCCGCCGATGTTGTTTAATCCGGCAAAGCTTTCTGATCCAAAAGCCACACAGGGGATCACCTATCAAATATATACAGGAGGTTAATTTGGCGAAGTAGTTGTGGTGGTAGAGTTTATATATATGTGTGTTCAAAACCTGGTAGAGCTTATACAAAACATATTGAAGAGTGTCCACCAATAAACGATCAAGATTGAAACAGACTCTTGGAAAAATTAAAAACATGGATCTACCCATTCAACCAACTCATGTGACTAAGATAAAACATTAATTTCATGGAAAAATAAGTAAGATTTATTACTACCTCAATTCCAAATTGTAAGACATTTTGACTTCTCTTTTCTAGGTACATATACTCTATGTCTAGATATGTGTAGCAACGCAATAAATATATCTAGAAAAGTCAAAACGTCTTATAATTTAGAATGTAGAGAGTAGTTATTATGACAGTGTCGTAAACTTAAAACTACTTGTTCAATTGATGGTCCATCATCAGCCAGATATTTGTAATTTCCCTTAGACAAATTGTATGCATGCATGTTATTAGAGTTTAAGAAGTTTTACTGATGACTTTGATTTGTGCACTACTGGCTTCACTGGTGTCTCCACTTTTTTTACCTGTGGGACAAGTTGACAAGGGCTAGTGGCTCAACTTTCCACTGGGGCCGTGTTTAGTTCGGCCGATTCAGCGGCGAAATCACTGTAGAGATACTCGTTCTATAGTGACGTTTTGTTTTTATTTGGTCACAATTGTCCGATCGTTGACTAGTTAGGCTCAAAACGTTCGTCTCGTAAAGTACAACCAAACTGTGCAATTAGTTTTTAATTTCATCAACATTTAGTACTACATGCATATACCGTAAATTTAATGTGACGGCGAATCTTTTTTTTACATAGTGTCAAAGTTGGGAATTTAGTAGAACTAAACATGCCCTGGGTGGGTCAACAACAGCGCATGCCGTGATTGTTAATAATCGCACATACTGCTAGTAGCTGCAGGACATTCTGTTACGCTCGCATCGCATCAATCAAATCAATCATGCATGTATTGTATAGTGGGGGCGTGTAACATGTGTACGCACCACCATACTTATGCATACAAAATAACATGAAGCCATGCATGAACAAGTTGCCATGTTTTCATTTCTGCCTTAATTATTACAACTATATAATTACACAATTTACAGCAGTAATCAGTGATCTGAATCAATATATAATTTCTGCCTCATTTTCTTTGATCTCATATCATGGATGGCCCTGGCCTGCTGGGACTTTCTTCCCTGTCGTAGGTATTTGTCGCCGCTGTGAGCAAGAGGAAGCAAGTGTGCCCGTCGACGGCCTCCGTCAAGGCCATCGCAACTGTTACTGTCCATGACATATCCGTTAACGCCACAGACATCTGCCACATCAGCAAGATCAGGTGCCAAATATATAACAGAACTGTATTAGAGAATATTCAAAGTTCTCCTGTGGAGTTTTCTAATAATCAAGTGTCTCAAACCTTGGATTATTATTCCAAATCAAGGTTCTTAGACAAGGCATGCGTGAAAGCGCTGGACAGCCCCGGTGGGTCGTCGGCAGCGGGGAAGGCGGAGAGCCCGTGGCGTCTGTGCACGCCAGCGGAGGTGGAGCAGGTGAAGCTGCTGCTGTGCGTGGTGCCCATCTTGGCGTGCACCATCGTGTTCAACACCATCCTGGCGCAGCTGCAGACCTTCTCCGTGCAGCAGGGCAGCGCCATGGACACCCGCCTCGCCGCCTCCGGCTTCCACGTCCCGCCGGCGTCGCTGCAGGCGATCCCCTACGTCATGCTCGTCGCGCTCGTCCCGGCCTACGAGGCCGCCTTCGTGCCCGCCATGCGACGCGTCACGGGCGTCGCCACGGGGATCACCCCGCTCCAGCGCATCGGCGTCGGCCTCTTCGCCGTCACCTTCTCCATGGTCGCCGCCGCGCTGGTCGAGACCCGGCGCCGCCACGCGGCGGCCGGCGGACGTCTCCTCTCCATCTTCTGGATCGCGCCGCAGTTCCTGGTGTTCGGGCTGTCCGAGATGTTCACTGCCGTGGGGCTCATCGAGTTCTTCTACAAGCAGTCGCTCGCCGGCATGCAGGCCTTCCTGACCTCCATGACCTACTGCTCATACTCCTTCGGCTTCTACCTCAGCTCCGTGCTCGTGTCGCTCGTCAACAGGATCACCAGCAGCTCCGCAGCAGGCAATGGCGGATGGCTTGCCAACAACGACCTCAACAAGGACAGGCTCGACCTCTTCTACTGGCTCCTTGCGGCGCTCAGCATCCTTAACTTCTTCAACTACCTCTTCTGGGCAAGGTGGTATTCCAAGAGCGTAGAGACGGTGCAGGTCGTCGGAGTCGGAAGCGGCGGCGGTGAGCAGCAGGATGACAAGAAGGACACCCCTGAGTGCTGAGATTAATATGCATGCATGGGTCCATGAAAAGGAGGCCCAGCTGAAATATCTCAACCAATTAATCAATTAATCTAGCGTACGTTAAGTGTAGTTAACCTTTTCGATTTCTTTTTCTTGTCTGCTTTCATGGTTTTTTCTTCGTTCGCGTCTTATTAGAAGATATATATATGTATTTGTGTGTGAGTGAGATTAATCTCACAAGGTGATAGATAGGTGATCAAAATTAACCTTGGCGGGGCCAAGTTAATGTTAAGGGTAGTTATGTAAATTCAACTCCTACAGGGAGCATGTGTAGAAGTGGTTTGGGTTAGCTGAACCTAATCCCCTTGCACGGGTTGAGCTAATATTATGTATATGTAGCTGTGTGTAAATGCAAATGCATGATCTATATATTCTATTAGGGGGTGTTTTGATTCCATGGCAAAACTTTAGTTCTGCACTTTTAGCCCATTTTTTTGCCATAGGGATCTAAATAGGTGGGCTAAAAGTGAACAAATGGGATGGACAAAGTTTTGCCCATTTGCTACTCAAGGGGTGTAAAACTAGGCTAAAACGTCTTGGGGGCGCACTGGACAAAAGATAGCCCTCACCCACCCACATGCCCCCTCTCTCTCTCCCATAGCTTAATTAAATAAGGACAAATCAGTCATTGTAGAATGGAAACTAAACTTTTATCATGGATCCAAACACCTCCTGCTGGACTAAAGTTTAGCAGCAAAAGTTTAGCACCTAAACTTTTGCCATGGCAAATGGATCCAAACACCCCCTTAGTATTTGGACGACAAATGGAGTCTTCCACTCTGCACCTTAATTTTCAAGACCTAGAAATCACCACATTGTGTGATATCAAACTGCCCATATGTGTGTGAATAAATTATGCAACATTGTCATTACTTAAAAGCTTAGCCCAAAATACAATTATACCAATTTCACTATTACCCACCCGTGCCATTTATTTCAATTACATGAAGCTAACCACATACCTCATACTACTTAATAACAATGTATTTATGTTGAAAATTGAAAATTCAGATCCTATAAATAAAATAGAATAAAATAGAAACATACATACTTACCGTCGCATTGGTGAAAACTAGGTCTTCATGTGAATCAAGCTAAGATGACTATACTTTCATTTTTATTGCCTCGCGACCAGGCATGATAGTTGTAACTTTAAATATGCATGAAGCATTAAACAATAGGGGCGCTGCATAACGCCAAGTAACGCCATGGGACACGGGGTGGATGCCACGGAACAGCGAGGAATGTCGGGTCACCGAGTCTGTACTCTGTACTGAGAGAGATCTGCAGTCGAGAGAGTGTGTACCTCTGTCTGTGTAACCCTATCATCTGTGGCAAAGGGTCTGACCTTGTTCAAGTTAATCTTGCAGCATTAAATCAATCATTCCTCTAATATCGGTGTTGCAAGATCTTGTGTTTGAATCATTTTGATTTTTCCCTTCCCGGTCTCCCTCTCTTTTGCTTTTGATGGATTTGATTTCCTGCAGGTTGAGGGTAATTTGAGTGGATGGGTCCGTGCTAGGACCTCTGAGAAACATCTTTACCAAGTGGTTTGGGTAGATTTCTCACGAGCACTTAGATCCAGAGGAAAAAATTTAAGAAAACCCTCACCCTTTTGATGGATTTTTTTATCTGTGTTGATCCCTTGACTTATGGATGATGATCTTTGGGGAAAGCTTCTAAGAACCTAAGGGAACCCCTCTGTAAAATTTCAAAATTTCTGCAGCTCATTTGAATTTAGAAAAAAGTCTACGTAACCCCTCAACTATTCAGGTGGACTACTTCACCTACCAAACTATAAAACCAGATTTTCTACCTCTAAACTTTTCAAAACCGATAAAATAACCCCCAAGCGGTTTTGAACGGTGGTTTTGTCTTTTTCTTTTTTATTTATTTTTGTTGATTCTTTGAAAAATCATAATAAATCACATAAAAACATAAAATGGAAAATTCAATTTTATTGGACTCCACGTGAGTAGATCTACATAGTGAATATATAATATGGTATGTTTTAGTATAAAGTTTTTGTTGTAGCATTAGATCTATGCATTTCTGTAACTAATTGGAATAATTCATAGCTGCAGCTTCTATGGTTCAATTATGGTGAAATTTTTATGGTGAGATAATTATTGTATGCTTGAATTATAGTAAAAACATCGTACTCATTGGATCATGTATAACTTAGTTATATATAAAGCATAGATTTAACAAGTATAAACCTAAATAAATCTATAACTAAGTTATACATTATCCAATGAGTATGAAATTTTTACTACAGTTCAAGCAAACAATAATTAGCCCACCATAAAAATTTCACCACAATTGAACCATAGAAGCTACAGTTATGAATTATTTTATTTAATTACAGAAAAGCATACATCTAAAGCTACAACAAAAACTTTGTACTAAAACATACCATATTATATGTTTACTATGTAGATCTACTCATGAGGAGTCCAACAAAATTAGATTTTCTATTTTATGATTTTTCTGTGATTTACTATGATTTTTTAAAGATTTAGCGAAAATAAATAAATAAAAAAGACAAAACCACAGCCACGGTAGCAAAACCACCGTCCAAAACCGCCTGAAGGGTTATTTGACCGGTTTTGAAAAGTTCAGGGGTAGAAAATCTGGTTTTATAGTTTGGGGTGAAGTAATCTACCCTGAATAGTTGGGTGATTATGTAGACTTTTTCCTTTAAATTTATTTCAAATTTTTTCTTGGAGAGAACTCCACTAAAACCTGCGTAAACCAGCTCAGGCCGATTGGAAAACACGCTTAGGCCGGTTTTTCATGTTGCTCTGATTGAGCTGATTTTCGGTGGAGATCTTCTCCTTAGTTTTTTAAGCTCCCCACCAAGTTTCAAGTCCGTTCAAAATCGTTAAATTAGTCTTTGACATTTTCTCCTCTATGTGCTGAAAAACTAGCTCAGGCCAGTTTTGCAAACTGGCTCAGGCCGGTTTTGCTGTTAGTTTCTAAGGTTACATGTTTTTTTTATCTCCGTTTGCTTTCATGGTTGTTCTGCTGCATCCTCGGGTCTCTCTCTTGAGTGCATCTAGCCACCAGTTGGCGTGTGTACTCTCCTCAGAGTTTTAGGTGTTTTGAGAGCTTGGTTGGACGATGTTGGGACAACAGCCGAATCGAAAGAAAATTGGATTAGGCTCGCATTCAGCGCCCCCCCCCCTCCCCCCTCCCCTCTAGTCACCTTGCTCGGTCCTTCATTTTATTTGCAGTTCGGAACTATTTACAATGCAAGTGTATTGCTTCCGATAAAAAAAAAAGAACATTATAAATCCAAAAGGATGCAGAAGGGTTTCATATGAAATCTACATTGTATATGGCAATAGGAATAATATAATGTGCACCAGATGTTATGCACAAACATGAAGTTTATTAAGTATTTACAGGCAAATCTAAGGGCTTGATTGTTTAAGATTTTATTTAACTTCTGCCAGCAAAAAGCTAGAAGTTGAAACAAACAACATGGCAATTGAGTTGGCTTTTGAAAAGATGAAAAGTTGGCTTGTGAGGAAATGAAGTAAAGGAACATGTTTTGAGGAGCCTTTCTGGCTTTTGATGCGCCAAGAAGCTAAAAATTTGTTACAAAAGTCAATAAAAAAAAACAACCGTCAGAAGCCACCGGCTTTTGAGCAAAAAGCCCAAAAGATACCGCTCAAACAAATAGGCCCTAAGATAATGGAAAGGCGAAATTGGTGACACAAGTACAATTAACCTCTACACCTGAAATTTCTATTCTACTAGAAGTGACAAGTAAAAAGAAAAAGTGATGAGAACAGAATATTACTACAAATTTAGGCATAAATCAAACAGCCCCTTAAAGGCAAGCAAATATCCTCAAAGAATAAAACTTTTTCCACATCTAGAATATCACAATTTTGTTGTCGATTCCATTGGCATTAAAAGTGACCTCCATTAGATATGTGCCTGCAGGAATAATATTATTAGAACAAGGAGAATTTAGAACATTTTTTATGTTTTTATTTCTAAAAGGCAGGCCGATCTTCGTGCTTTGTTTTGCCTTCCTTTGTCTGGATATGGAGCTGGAAATTAAAGCTGCCATAGCTTCAAGTTGTACTACGGATGCCAAACCTGTCTTTCAAAACCTATAGCTCCACCAAAGTGTGCTTCAAAGAAAGCAAGCGTGGTGAGTGATCGGACAATGCAAGGAACAACGACCAAAGCTATAGCTGCCACGGGCCTCCATCCAGATGATTAAGTTGAAGTGTATGTTCTTGGATACTAGCTAGTATATAACCTCTTCAATAATAAAGGTAGGGAAATTCAATATCCCAATGCATGAATGCATGATATATCCTTTTTCTAAAGTAATCCAATGCAATGGTTGTGTATGTGCTCTTCATGTTGCATTGTCTATGTAGGTTACAGTCACTCATTGGGTATTCTAAGTTTGATAACAGGGGCCCTGCTGTGGTACTCCCTTACCTTCTAGAAGGTAAAATCTTAAAAAACGATAATGATACCATAAGGACGTCCGTCCCATGACTCTCCTCCAGACGCGCTCCCGCAAAAGAAAAGAAAAAAAATACCAGTCCGCTCATTCTATTCCCCGCTGCGCCTCCATCCCTATCCCCGCTCGGATACCGTGCCCCACTCCGTGCTAGCTGCTGCTGCCTTCACCCATCACTCACCCAAGCCCCATCCCGCTTGCGACGCTTGGCTCCCACATCCCTCGCCGCGCTCCATCTTGCGCTGCGCCACGTGCCCCATCTCGAACCTCACCCTCACGCCCCACCCACACAGGAATGTCTGTTGCTGCCCATCCGGTCGGCTCCGATGGGTTCATGCTGTTGGCGGTGGCGAGGGTGCTACAGCAACGCATGTTGTGGGGGCGGCCTTGGAGATGGCGCTCCTCGCGAGGCCCCTCTAGGCGGCGGCCCTCCTCGGCCTCCTACTCCGCAGGGCCTCCTCCTTCTTCATCGTTGCCACTCCAATCC